CTGTAAGTTAAACGTTTGTTCGGTAGACAAGAGAACGTCTATCCCTGTATGCACATTAATTGGCTTTTCTCGGAGTTTATCTATTAACGTAAGCATCAGAGCTTCCTGGAGAAGTGGCGCATCCAGTGTTCGCGATGTGAAATCCGTTAGCCGCAGAAGCATAAATTCTCAAGTTTCTGCGGCTGTCTCGTAGCGCCGCGACGCGCGGCATCGCGAAGGCTCGGGCTTCCGAGGTTTTGGATGTTTCAACCCCCTCCCGCGAACCCCCGACCCGCTTCGTAGCTTCACCTTATTATCCTTCCTTCCGCTTTCCATTACGTTACTTACACATGGTACACCTGGATGCCTGGATCCAAGATCCAAAATCCACACAGACTCCCGTCGGCTCGGCTGTCTCGAGTCTCGAGAGAACGAAGACGCCCTCGGCATACTTCCCATAGTTTGCCTCTTTGGGTTTGCAGCCTTGACTTATTAGTCCTTCGTCTGCGCAGGCGTGTCGCGGGCTTTTCTTCGGATTCCCAACCGCATCCGCATGAACGACTACTCGCCGAGAGATATAAGAGGGGCGTAGGAGGACAGCGGGCAATGAAAGGTGAGTAAAAGAGAGAAAGATAGAAAATGGAAACTGAAAAAGTTTAAAGGCTCGAAAATGCTTACGTTGGCTTTCTCGAAAAGCTCACGGATACCCCGGACGCGGTTCCCATGACTCCCTGGCATGCAGGATGGCGACGGGTTGCTTTTCGCGAAGCGCAGGCTGGGATGCTGTAAAGGGTTGGTGGAAGTGACGTTTTACGTATTGTATGTATCTGCGGCTTGCATTCCGTCTGCTATTCAGCGGGAAATAGTCCGGAGTCAATTTCCCTGGTGCATTCCTTTATGGCTCCGGGTTAAACACATCGCGTCCCGCTTCTCGAAAATACTCTGGAAGTCTACGAAACTTTAGTTCACTGCTTTACCGTCATTTTCAACTTTACTGGCTCCTCCCGTCACTCGGTCACGTGTCGATGAGACATATACGTACATCTTTTAATTAATCCCCAACGTTCGTACAATTTGACAGGATCCCTCTGATTAAATGAGATTAGTAATTAACAAATTGTATTAACTACTCCGTGACGTAATAATAAAAAATATTTTTTAATACCCTATGATCCATGGCCAAGTCTCTCTTTGGAAGCGGGATACGTAAACCGCGGAAGAAAAAATTCCCTAGCTTAAAGGGTACGTCGAGTGGATGTCAAATAGCCCGAGAAATATTTAAATAAAATACATCAGGAAACTCGATTGAATTTGGCACCAGGCACGGGCGGCTCTATAAATCTACAACGACAAAAGGCGGTCGATCAGCTTTACGAGTCGAAGGAAGGCCGGTCTGATTTCCAAAGAGAAATGGCGAACTGCAGACTGAAGGGTTGCGAACGGGTATGGATGGGGATGCCAGTAATAAAACGTTATCTCCCTTCCACCCGGACTCCTTTAACGTCTGTAACGACATTTAAAGTCCTTAGACCGCGGACGATTTACACCATAAAACCACCCCCTGGCCGTCCCTGCTACTTATTATAATCATATCATGTCCAACCCCTCTGATCAGTCGCCTCGTCAATGACAGTTAACCGCCCATCTTGCCGTGACGCGCTCTCTTAAGTTCGATCTTAAAAGGTGGTATTTCGCAGAAGGCAAGAGGACGAGGAAGGGAAAAATTATTTTTTTAATATCACCCCAAAGAACCAACGCGATGTGAATTTTAATTCAATATACATTAACGGCTACCTATAATCGGATTAGCATCGAGCTGGGTAGCTTTAGATATACCCCAGGAGGGTGTCCCATTTTCTATCACCGAGGAGGACGGCATTTTAACCCATACCACGAATGGACATGATCTCCGGCTCTGGACCACCCCCCCCCCCCCCCCTGACAATAGGGCTGCATTAATGTTGTAATCCAGTTATCGTAGCTTCCAGGACGAACTCGAATCTAGCCAGGCTTTTAAGCCTGCAGAGCTTCAAACGGCCGTCCGGCACGTCCGCTTCTGCTCCTCTTAGCATTATTATCCTATAGCTCACCGGCGTTACAGTAGAGGCCGTCGTCTTTGTAAGTGCCCAGTGACATTAATTTACACCCTTCCCTCAGCGCGGACCAATCATAATTTACATGCAAATGGTACCATAATTAACAAAAAGAAACTGACAAACATGTTAATTGTATACACAAATTGTTGTGAATATTCACATTTTTTATACTCACTCTCGTATCTCTATACTTATTCTTTTTCAATTTTTCTATAACTATCCTATATACGTATATGCTGTACAATACTATGTATATATATTCAGATATCAGATATGTGGTACGGACAAAGTGAAAGAGAGAGAGAGAGACAGAAAGGCAGATACGAGTAGTGCAAGTGGGAGAGAAAGAGACGGAGACACAGGCAAAGGTATCTGCACACAGGTATCTGCATAACAATGAGGGCCGAGCAAAGGAAAGGATGCCAAATACGGGATGCCGAATTCCCGATGCCAGATGCCCTTCGTTGGAATAGAAGCTGTCTGCATTACAGATGTAGATGCAATTATAGCATTGCGAGTAAACTTCTACCTATACCTATTTCCCGTACCTGTCTGCTCTCTTTCCACTTTCCATTCCTCTTATCGAGAAACTTCTCCGAGAGCCATGCCGACCTTAAAGATGCCGAGGAAAAAAAAACTTTAAAGACTGCTCGACGAGTTGGACATTCATTTTTACAATAAATATTCTCTGCCTGTCGTTCTCTTGACGTTTCACGTAAAAGTCACTGGGTCCAGATTGCCCAAAACTTATTACTGCTATTTCGATGAGGTAGCTGGCATCGTCATCATCATCAGGAACAGAGGCAGCAACGTTCTTGTAAATTCCGCGAAATTTCATCGATATTCGCTAATAAATTTTAAAATACGCGAGAGAAACGACCCAGTCGGCTTGCGGTCTTAGTAAAGTCCCGCGAGCTTCCAGGAACCTGTAAATATTCAAAGTTTTCCGGCCCACGTATTTTTCTCGATGGTTCGAGTACCAAAACCCTTATCCAACGTTTCCCGCGCCACTCGAAACTCAGCGCTTATATACCTATATGCATATATATTATATATATATATACATATATATACATATATACATATAGGAAGAAGCTCGTCTTTTTTACTTCATCCTGGTAACGACTTCGCAAGACGAATTTTTACATACTCCGTCATTAGAAAGTTTTCGACGTTACTCATTTGCAAAATACGCCCAGGGTTACCAACACAAGCGCTTCCATAAGTTGTGCAGTCAAAATACGAAAAACTTTCGGAACACGGTCGATCCCACGGGAAAGTGTAGTATATTAAGATAAAAAAAAAAAATAAAAAAAATCACTGCATCGCCTAAGTACTCCGGAGATGAGATTAAAAAAAGATAAGCTAAATAATATAAATTGAATCTGTAAATTTACAGTAACGAGTATGTTGTTCAGGGTGCAGCAGTAGCGATTAGTGAATCGGGTTCAAGGGTAGGTGACAGGAACAAGTAGGATGTTAACAGGACGATGGGGGGGGGCACGGTCGAGGGTGGAGGGGTGGAGGGGTGGTAGGGTAAAAACGGAAGGGAAATAAGTGGGATGCGAAATTAAATGAAATTTAAATTAAGTTCAATTAATTAAGGTCCTTTCCCTCGCGGGAACTCCGGTTGGCTGGCTGCTTACCAGGATGAAACGCATCCCCAGGGCCAGAGGGCTGGTGATCCTTGCCTAGTAGCGGATACAAACCTAATCTCTTTTAAATTAGTATTACATTCTAGGAGCCTCAAGTTCCTCTTAGAAATTATTAAATTCCACGCTGCCGCTTACGGCAAGACCGTTCCTCTTCTTGGCCAGCATGTCTGGCTACTATTTACAAGAACGATAAACTCAGCCGAGACTCCATTATCACGTTCCGTCGACTACGCCGGCGACGCCGGCAAGGACCACCACCTTGGTTGCCCTACGACTTTCAACTATCAACCCTATGCCAACCCTTTTACGTGCCACGTACCCTTTTCATCCTTTCTCCAGTACTCTATCTCCGGCCCCCTTCTCTGTAGCGAGTGAGCCCGCTGGATGAGCTTTTCCCAGCACGAGTAAAGCCGACAAGACCCGACCGTCCCCGACTAAAGATAACTTGTATTTCGAAATTAAGCAAATCGTATCGATCTGCTGAAACGACAATTTCAACGAGCCAGCTTATTAATTTTGACAAATTTTTCATCCTTAATTCTATAAAACTCCATCGGTGATTAAATTACCGGTCTGGTAGTTGATATCATTGTTTTTCTGCCAATATATCAAGTTAGTTAATTCCCTTGTAAAATGACTTGGATATGCCTCCCAGGTAAAAAGGCTAATGGAGCTAATGGAACATATATATATATATACAGAGTGTACGGGTAAATTTAGTTGGAAAGTAACGGCAGTATCTTCTCCTGTAATAGACGGCAATATTTAAGCAAGTAATTATCTCGTATCGCGAGAATCGTAACGGGATCGTAATGGGGCAGGCAGGTTGGGAGGATACCAATCCCCGTTCATGGTACAGGATTATAAATTCTCCACACAATTGGCCGAGCCAAGTCGCCAGCCCGTGCGCCGCTTTAATGGGAGATTAAAATTTTCGGAGAAAAAAACGAGCGGCAGCCAGTAGCAGCAGCAGCAGCAGCCTGGCGGAAACGACGTTACTAGTTACCACTCGGTTTTTCCCATTTTCTATCTTTATTCTAGTTCTATATTACATCTCTCTCACGCACACACAAAGGTCCACACTACCATGTCCTATTTTCTAACAGAAACTCCCAACTGGATAACTGGCCAAACTGGTCTCCAGACAGTATCCCGTGTCTCCATTAAAAATGTAACTTAGTAAAGAATCTACGAAGACGTTCCTTAATTTAGCGAATGCTATAACTTATCTTCTAGCAGTTGAGAACGAGAGGCGCAGTATAGCGTTCCCTGTTCTTTATAATTTTATTAGCGAAATTACCCTTGTATAACATTGCTATTGCTTATCCGTTCTTATATATAAACGAGTCATCAGGTTAAATATCTTTTAGATGATACAGAATAATGTTACGAGGAATCGGCTAGGAAGGATCACAGTAAGGCTACTCCATATTTATTAAAACTGTACTATATCCCTCGACGTGTGAGCTTCCACAGGAGGTTATATAAGGACTCCCTTGGAAACGGGATCTGGATACATACGAGCCCGGCTTTAATAAAGTCTTATCGGTGCTCGGCCATGCGTGTCGACTTAAAACCACGGACACACTAATCCCCTATGCTAATTTCCCTGAGAGAAACATTCCCATCCAGTGATACCACTATATATATAATATAGCTACTATACCGGCTACACGGTACTTCCTTCGCAACTATACTATACGGTAACAACGTATCTGTAGGTGGAATATAGCTGGAGTTGTTACTAGACTGGTACCAACGTAAAAGCCCACTATATGATATGTATTCATATGTAAGCTTTAGAGCCAGAGCTTTCGCTTCCCCTCTTACACACACAAGTACTCCTTCCGGCCCCTCTCCACGATCCATCATTTCTCTCATTGAGATTTGTCCGAAAATCATTTGAATTCCGGATATCCTGGTTAACGTATTCCAATGTATTCCAACGTATTTCAACGTGAAATACGTTTCCAGTTCTCATTTCTCAGCTTTCTTATTCATTCGAGTATGTAATATTCAAATTGACCGACTCTGCCACCATTTGTAATGGTATGGTTCCGTTGTAGTTTGCCCAGTATGACGATATTGTGGTAAAAGAGAGACACGTCCGAATCGGTTGGAGACGAATTTTACTGTTAAGAAAGTACAAAATTACAAGCCCACGTGACTTGCCGGCCGAGAATCATCTCGAGTTAGTGCTGTCGATTATGCTATCGATAAAGATCGTCAATGTCCCTACGACAATTTAAAATGTTCGAAGAAACTTTTCTTTTCTCTAGTCATTCGTTGTTGACTCTCCTTTTTTCTTTTTTCTTTTCTTAATAATCCATTTCAAGAACTCACCCATCGCTTCTAATGCTTACTCACTCTTCTTACTCAAATATGCTTTTTTGTAGAAGTCCCAGAACATGTAGAAAATCACAATCACGTGAAACATGTATATATAGGCCAGGGGCTTCCGGGTTGGTTCACAAGAGGGCATAAGTGCCTGCGACGTGTGTATCACCATCACGACAAACTGGATCTGAAGGAAAGGAAGAGAAAAAGAATCCGTTAAAAAAAAACTTTTACAAAAGATTACAATAAATATTGATATCCCTAAAGAATGGAAATTCCAAAAGGAACAAACAGCACGAGGATGATATGATCAATGTTAAGAGAATATTTCGTTAAAAATCCACCAACGTCGCTGTTAGCTAATAACGGAAGAAGAACGACGTAAAGGAGCTCTAGGTTTTCTTTGCGTTAAGTAACAGTGAAGAAAAAAAGGATAATGGGGAAACGAATGAAGGAGGACCGAAAAAAACGATATATGAAGCATTTTATCCAGTACCTAGAAATTATGTTTCCCTGACGGCTCAAATTAATGTACTAGGGATCAACCACTTATCACGTATAATTTGCTAAGGATTGCATCGTTTGCGAACTGTCAAAGATCTCATTGAATTCGAAGTCCGATTATAAATCGATTGAAGTTTAGTTAAGTGTCGAGAACAATGTATTCTCAGACCTTTAATGTATAGAATGGCGTAAGTAGTGACGTTCGTGACATTCACTCAGGGGACATTAGAAACGGAAAATAAAAAAAAAAATAAGAAAATTTGGTTTTATGGATGGATTATGTCAATTTTTCATACCAACTGGAGCATCGTCAAGTATGGCTTCCAAGGGCTGATTCTTTTCTGCATTTCTGGACCAAGACACGCCAGTAGATAATAGGTATACATGATAACATGCACCATACAATTGGGCATCATTATGAAGGTCCACATGCCACCTGAAAGAATCAAGATTTCTATGTAAAATCTTTTATCAGACTGGATTTGATAAATTTTTCGATTTAGAATGATATATACCTGGAGCATATTTACAAGCAATCCAAGAAAGACTAACGGTTGTGGCGTGATGGTAAATATGGAGAAAAGATGTTTGATTGTATTTCTTCCTTAGGACAAAGATAATCGTGTCTCCAAGTTCAAGCATCTTCAGGAGCAATATCCACCACACCCACCGGGCCATCTGTTAGAATAAAATAAAACAATAAATAATTTTGTAGGAATAATGAAAAGTATTGAAAATAAGAATTAACGTAAAAATTAATCCATTGTTTTTAGCACAAATCAATGTGGTCAATTAGTAAAAAAAAATGGTTTATGATACATGCAAATTTGTATTGTCAAATAAAAGCATTTTTAAATAGCCAGAAAATAACTTCTATATTTTACGTCGAATTTCAGAATAAAGTACCTGCACAGTGTTGATTGAACAATTCTGTGTTAAACTCCCAGAGTCTAATTACAATTACAGCCATTTATTACATCGTTACCAATTATTTCAAATGATTCCGGCCAATATACTTCCCCAAGGTACCATTACAGTAACAGTCAAAAGCCACTGATCGATTATCAGCGATTCTTCTACCCTGATTATTCATTTGGAACTCTTTAATGCTACTATAAATAATCTGACTAGATAATCAATAATAATTCTTTCTTCGAAAAATTTCAAACATGAATAAGATATTTATCAACTTCTTGTTAACTACGATAAAACAGAGTACAAAACGAAAAAAATATTATAATATCAATATAGCTCACACTAAGTGGTTCTGGATTATATGAAAAATCGACAGGCTCGCATCCCCAAGAGAGATTCGTAGTAAATCCGGAAGTGAGTAACTAGAAAAGAAAAACTACGTCAGCCACAATGTACAATAAACGAGAAAATGTTAAACGTGAATAAACATTGTTATCTAAAAAAAAACTTACTCCGTAGAACACAGTTCCACTAGCTGCCGCAACGAAGACATTGTATCCGATCATAAGACCGTGTAGGGAATAGGGTTCACGATTCTTCATGAAATTCGGACCCACGTGAAGAACGAATATTAAATATAGAAGCAGCACAAGAATCACCGGAAATGGACTAGCCATCAATGGCCAATCAGCCACCCTTGGATCTGTTCGAGTATTAATAAAAAAAAAACATAACTATAAAATAAATCACCCTCTTCAATTAAACTTCCACATTTCCATGCGCCTTCTTCAATTACTCCTTATTAAATTTAATCTTTCATAATCTAATATAATAAATAAGCTCACCTGATATCTCCTCTATAAGATAACGATACGCCTCTAAGGGCCCCATGTCCTGCTCAAGAAAAAAAAATGAAATTAGTCATCTACAGAAAGCCCCCAGTCAAACGTGCCAACACGAGAGACCTCCAAGTGATACTGGCGTCTATCTGATGGCGAACAAAGCACAGAAGAGAAAGAAGAAAATCTTGCTAATCCAATAGAATAAATATTGCAAACTCATGCGTCAGTTGGCACACGGGATACGAAGGAACAATGAGTAAAAAGGATACAAGCACGCAGGTAGAGAAATATAAAAGAGACAATAAAAGCATAAATTGTCAAGATAAAAAGAAATCAAATTAATATAAATAACTTTTACTTCATGCTGTTATTGTTGGCATCCCTCAACCGTACAGATGAATCAATTATGTCCGACGGATTTTTCAACGGGTAAAAAATGTTTTTAAAAAATGTTAAAAAAACTCATATACCTTTGATCTTTAGAAATAAAAACTGGAATATTGTATTTAAAAAACAATTTTTTTACAAAGGGGATCGGCGATCCGCCGATCATTAGAGTTCGACGTATCGATACTGTTAGAAAATCTACGAACAAAAATGACCATGAATATTAAGTAAGGGACAATACAAGGATAAAGTAACGCACCATGAGCCGCCATATTACGTAAAGGCTTCTTATATAGGGTGACTCGAAGTAAAACGTTCTTGGAAAAACTCTTATAAAAAATTATTCTCTACATCAGTCTCCTGTCCTTGTAATTCTGTTGTTTATTTTTAATCAAACAAATCTCCACACTCGCGAGATACCAACTCCAGCAAATTTTATGTGTCTCATCGTTCCCTGACAATCATAATACGAGTCCTCGAGGACTCTTGACCTTACGATTGAATCTCCAATTCTGACAATTGAATGGTACATGTGATAAGAGCACTGCTCACCTCTCGTGATGAACATTTAAATTCCTTGAGCAGCGCCAGGGTCTGCTGCACTGTGGATGCCACTGTTAGTTCCTGTTTATTACACCGTAGCGCAGATTAACCGTTGTATATCAATTTGAATTCTGTGAATGTCTTCAGGTATAAACTTGTTAATTAGATTAATAATTATCTTACAGATCTTGCCGAGTTTCTCTTTAACGCTCACTATGTTAATAATCAGCTGTTAAAACGTATCGACCACAGATGTCGTAGAATCTTTTCATCTTTAACCAACAAACTGGAACGTGTTTCTTTTGCTGACTATTTCACTTTTTATCTTGTGGTTGTTTCTATGAGACACAAAGATTGTCTCGGAGACTATATCTTGACTGACTGCCACTGTTCACTAACGACTGTCTTTTAAATCGCTAGGCTACCGTAGACGTTACGCTCATCTGCAGGGCAAGCACCCCCGGTTAGAGGCTTATAGTCAGGGACGTAGTTGACGTACCTGGTACCCGTATGATCAATTTCTTGACTAAGAAATAATCCCTTATTAGTCTCCTTAATTCATACCAATTGTTAATATTTAATGCTAAGAGAAAAATTATATTTATTCAAATAATGTGGATAATGTTTAAGAACTAGATAAAAAAAAGTAGATATTAAAATATATATTATAAACTGTGATTTTCATAATTGACGATGTAATTTTTATAACATTCCAATGCCCCGACAGTTAATTCCTAACTTAGCTAATACAGATATTATAATCAATGTAGTTCGACTAGTATCACAATTTCAAAAGCCGGCCAATGTAATTTCATTAATTATTTCATTATATCAAGTATACGCTATGATATTCAATAAAGAGTTTTTTGTAATTTTTTCATTTCATTTTTCTTATAATTCTCTAAAAGCCAAAATTGTAATTAAAAATTAAAACGTACAATTAAGCTTTTGCCTTCTCTGAAAAATGTATCGTAACAAAATTCAAAAAAGATCAAACCGTGCTCAATAAAAGTTTCAGAACGTTGGTACATCTTCGAAGATTAAAAAAGAAGTTGTAATACTCTTATTCATCAATCGACTGAGAAGGAGGTAATTACTCTTTTTAGTTTCGCAACAGTTACGACAGTTCCTCTTTATTTGAAAAAAAGGCAGTTTAATCTTAAGGCGTTATGACGATCGCCAATCTCTGCCCGAAGCCTTCTCGTTACAAGGCCCGCGAAAGTAAAAAACGAATTGTACTAGCTTTATCATGGCACCTTTTTATTAGAACGTTGTTTCAGCCCTGTTAGAGAGGGCTGGATGAGAAACGTAACTTCCAACTAGTACAGGAGCGCCAGCAGGGTGGGATGAATATATGGCTTCCCCGTGTGCTGTCATTTGAATGAGGATTATAGCCACGAACGTATCATATATGCGTCTATGCGTCTCGGCTGGTCTCAACCGTCTGCCCTAGTCTGGCCCATTCGCATCTATATTATACTACTACTTAATCTCTGATTGTATACATTTCGGAATCGTGAACGCGTGACTGGCTTATCGTGTATATGTAAAGACTACACTTTAAATTTTCGAAATTCACCTTATGGACGGCGGATTTAGCTGAAACTGGAATTCCCCTAAATCTCTAGTGTTGTTATGAATTAAAAAATGACGTATAAATTTGGTAAACTGTTTAACACTTTATGAAAATTACGTTGCTCAGAGATAAGCATTATAAAAGTAAAGAATATTGCGTCGCCCACATATAACGTGAAAAATAAATTTTCTAACAATTATATATAAACCTGTCACAACATACCTTTTTTTTGTAAAATATTGATATTCCGTATTTTTCTCCAATTGCTTTATACATGTACTTGGGGAAAATTAATACTCGAAACCTGCTTTTGAAAATGCTATGGTACATGCATAACGGTGCCATCTGTTAGCAGAATATTGTAACGTTGTCGTATTATTATCATCCATGGGTAATAGAAACTAGAAATGCGCTCTTCTGCCATCTTACGGAGAGTACTGTAAACCGATTATCAGTCAAAAAAGGATCTTCCGTTATCATGCTTTTTCTATAGAATGATTCTCAGTTCGATCCACAATGATACTATGAAATATTTGTTAAATTAGGATGACGTTGCCTAATTATAATATATAGCAAGTAGAACAGAAAGTATTATCTCATTTTTTTCCCCTCATTATCAATACTTTTATGTATGTACAGTGTACTCCCAAACAACCCCTATCAGTCCTAATCAACCACTTCGCAATACGATACGTGATGCGTGCCAGTAGAGCGCTTATGCACTTTCCCATGCACAAGGGTAGCAGTGTAACGGTGCAGCGGTACAACAGTGCATAGATTCTCGTGATTCCTTTAAAACGTTCATGCTGCGAAGCTGCTGAAAATGTAACAGATTCACAAATTTTTTTGAAAGGCGCGATAAGGATAAGCTAGGATTAATCGAGTGGCACTACCGCAATGCGGGAAAGCAAATTATGTTGCCGGGAAGCACGCTACAGTTTACCGCATTATATTCCTTGCGTAGAATCCTTGAAGGAAAAAAAGGCGCCCTCTGCTATGCGCCCGATACTATTTCTGCGACACGATACGTTCAGCCTGACCGTCAGCATACGAATCCCAACGTGCGAAAATAACGTAGAAGGATAATATCGTTTGATTTAAATTAAAGGAAATTTACAGGCTTACCAGACAGGACGGCACGCGTGTGACTCAATCGCGGATTCGCCCTTCTGTAGTGGTAGCACAGAAATACACTGAGTTTGCGCATGCGCCCTGTGTTATTATTATCTGACTCTCTCCCTAGTAGGTATTATGGACCTGATGCCAAGTCCATATAATACATACAGATAATTTGAAAATTTTTTCAAAAGATATTTAAAATTAGATAAATCAATACGATTTTTATTTTGAGGCAAGGTTATGGGCCTTTACCAAAAGTTTTGTAATCAAGGGAACATTATAATATAAATTTCAATGAACTTGCTTTCCTTTTTCTTTGATGTCATCAAGAATCTCTGGTATATGCTTTATAAGATTTTCAGGAGACGTTTTGAAGTCATCGTCTAACCAGATCTTTTTAAGAGCACCCATTACTGGTCCTATCAATTTTCCTTGGGAAATATGAGGCTTTAGCATGTTACCGTTTAATGGAAATCGTGGAACCTGCCATTTTCCCAACTCTTTCAGAAGATCTATGGCTCCTTTGTATTTCAATAGTTCTGTAACAAAACCCCTAGAATCCGGAATCTTTCCTTTTGGATTGAGTATCAAATACTGATATGGCTTGAGAGGTTTTTCACAAGGTTTGTCCTCTCTATGTTGTACAATGAAAAGTCCCAGATCTCGGTCGTACGCTGCGAGCTTCAATCTTGAATGTAGAGCCATCACTTCTTCTTGATCCCTCAACATGGCACAGATTAACGTGATTGGACGAACTTGCAATGTATTAGCACGTGCTCGATGACAAACCGTCTTAAACGTCTCCACATCAGGATTTTTCGGTAGTCCAATATATTCTGCCATGCCGCATTCGATCATATTACACATCAGTTCTGCGTTGTATTTCCCATCTAAGATTTTTTGCCACTCACTCCAGATCCTCTCGCCGGAAATACGTTCAAGACCGGAAACATTATTTTTTATTGCTGTTATTGTCTCCTCATCGTGATTATCCGGATCGTTGGCAATTCTACCATAAAACCGGAAGTATCTGAAAATGTTAGACATCGTTTAGGTATGGTTACAAGAAAATATTTTATAATTTCTTACCTTAGAATTCTCAAATAATCTTCTTGTATTCTTGTGGATGCATGTCCTACGAAAACAACTTTTCGTTTGAGGAGATCATCGTAGCCATAAAAGTAATCATAAACATTGCCTTCCAAATCAAGGAACATTGAATTGATGGTCAAATCTCGTCTATTAGCGTCGCGCAACCAGTCTGTAGTAAATTTTACTTCGGCATGTCTTCCATCGGTGACAACATCGATTCTTAGAGTAGTTACTTCAAAATTTACTGTGTTGTTTATCCTCGGTGTTATTGTGCCATGCTTTGCCCCATTTGCATTAATCATTCTTACTTCTTCCTTTGAAAACATCTCTGTCATTTGATCTGGGGTAGCAGTAGTTGCGAAATCTAAATCTTTTGGTGTCATCCCCATGAGGATATCTCTCACAGCACCACCAGCTACTCTTATCTCATAATTATATTTTTTAAATATATCTGACAGAGTATTAAGCTCTGGTGTAAAAATTGAGTGAAATTCTGGAGTATCCAACTTCATAATAAGGGGATCGCTCCTGCAACGAGGTACTGGTTCATCAGACATCCTAACCTTAATCCACTTGTTAAGGGCAGACTTATCTTGTTCTAAATGCTGAAACAAATACAAATTTAATTTATAAAATATTCTCACAGGCATTATAACATTAGCATATTAATGTAAATACATTAAACTTTTCACAATAATTCTCTTTTAATAACTTAATAATTATTTTTAAAAAAAGCAGTCCTCCAGAATTTAAATACACCGATGTTTATAATTTTGAAAAATCTACAAAAACATATCCTGACACTTTCATCCTGTGACTATCTAACCGACAGATGAATACACGTGCAACATAATATAACCTTATCAAAACATAACCAGTCACTTTTTCATACATAACATTTATTTGATAAACATAGTTTACCTACTCTGACCGATACGTAATAAAAGAGAGATTTCAATTGTTCTTTAAATAAACGAATTGTTAACATAGTTCTCGTAATGTCAACTAGTTATATCAAAATTTCACACAACGACAAATTCTGTTACTCTCGGAGTGTTCTGTGTTCTGTCATACATTGAGAACCAGGATTCAACAAGTTCCGTAAAATGCCCCCTAGATGGCGATGCTGTACATATTTCACGGGAAGAAGATGTTACAGCTCGTTGCAAATGCCGATAAGTAATTGTGAGTTTAAAAAAAGATAAATTCCGTTGACTTTCACATAGAGAATAAATTGATAGCCTGGATGGATAAAATCCAATATCCACAATTCCCACGTGTAGGTTCCAGCTCAACTGGATATCCTTGTTTCTATATTAAATTAAATTTGCATATACCTGCAGCATGACAAAAGCCATTAATGTAAGTACAAAACTTTCCATTGAAAAAAATACGTCTCATCTGAGCGTAAAGAAATATCCGTAGAAATGAAAGTAAAAGTAATTAAAGCTCTAAGTCGAAATAATTAAAATATATACAGGAGTATGAAACATATAGAGTGATTATGTGTGAAAAGTTGAAAAAATAAAAATACAACTGAATAGACTTTTATTTTCTTGGAATCCTAAAGAGTGCGACATTACTCGTTCCTCGTAGACGCAGTGTTTATGCGTTATTAGAAGGAAACTAAGAGCAAGTGCAAACATCATTTGTAATGCCGCCATGATGTATTTATCTCGTGGAGTGGCATATTTTTATCTAGCGTACGTGAATATGCAAATCGGTATGTGCAGTAATAATGTGCGAAATGTCGTTTAAATATAGCGCACCCTCGAGTATTTGTCGATTTGTCGTTGAGGATCTTCATCGGGGAAAGGATTCATAACCTCCTCGTGTCCATTACTGCGAGAATAACGTGCCAGGAATCTTTTAAACTGATCGCCGCGTGTAAATATTTTCATTCTCTCAACTGCTCTATCACTATATATTTCTGGGCAGTGTCCGTACCGCATCGTTAAATTCTTCTCTTGTTTTTCAGTCGAATGAAATCTATGCACGAACATACATCAAGCAATAAGACGTTTCATAAACGTACAAGGAACATCGCCGTTTCATTTAAATATAAAGACGTTTGATCTTAGTTATTCCAAATTGTTGAAATTCTTATTCTAAATTTTAAAAGTGGTAAGAAACTCTACGTTACTTATCATTAATCACAATTATTTATCTTACAAATTTTGTTACATGCAACTTTAGATTTTTAAGCAGCAAAAAAACTATTCTAACAGAACAAGATTGATATTCGGATCCATGAAATATTTCAAAGATATCAATATTCGAAAATAAATCATTAGAGACACTAAACAATTAAAAATTCATGCTGTATCGCCCAAGGAATAGACAATAATTAAATAGGTGATATTCCTTGCGTTCGGAATGAGGATGGCTCTCGCTGATAGGTATCTGTATTATTCATCAGTGTTTCGTTAGACCAGTACCGGTAAAAGACAGAATAGCAATGGGTATAAATCAGCAACGTTGAAAAAAGGAAATTTAACCTAAATTTTACCCAAGAACTTCATAAAAGTTGCGAGTCTTTTAACTGCAAGTAAAATTTACATGAAATATTCACAAGACAATTCACTTGCATAGAATGTGCTTAAAATTTTGTTAAACTAGTCTAGAGGTCGTTTCTAACTTGTACAGAGAGGTATTCACAGCCTTTACTATTTAAGTGTAAAGAGGAGGATAAAGGCGAGCAATGCTAGATAGGACTTGGTCGTAGTGAAACGTAGAAGCATGAGAGACCCAGAAAGAGGATGTAGGGTCCGACCTTATCTGCGGCCAACAGGCAACCCAAGTGACACCCCCGTACCAACCTCTATGCCATCCATGTGACACCCCTGTGCCACCCTGATCCACCCTGCGCCACCGCCGTTCTCCTGCGTCCTGCGTCCACGAGCTAGCTGGCGAATAGGACGCGCCATGATGAATCGGCCATATTGCCTTACTGCCCTCCAACGAAAAGAGGGGTTGGGAGTCCAGCCTCCCTTAGCTCTATGGGCTCTATCATCCAGCTTCTCAATTCGGGGGTTGAGAATTTTATCCTGAGAATCTTGTAAAATCTTTCACTTCTTTGTCAAAAAAAAAATTGTGCCGTTTGAAAAAAATGGAGCGATGGGAACGTGGTAGAATTCTTATTTTTAAATGAAATAAGAATGTCAAGGTCAATGGAGCAAAGATTAGACTGATACGAGATCGATTTTTTATTTTTCATAATAATCATGATTAAGTTTCAATCTGAAATCTATCACTTGTTTGGATTAGCTGTAGTGCAAATGTAGACCATCGTCGCAATCTTGGACTGGGAGCCCCTGTTATCAGCCGCTATATGTACGTGACGATATACCTTAGCTTGAGATTCTCTCCTATACGTTATACAGGTTCTTCTTCTCCCGTACACTTTATATTTCACATATTCTCTTATACCTATTCGATCCCTTTGACCTATTTCACGCGTTCCACGTATTCTGATAATACCCACTTGATATAGTCCCTACCAAAAATCCTTAGGCCTAATAAGATATTATTTTTAGTTTCATGTGGTGCATGGTCCATATTATATCGGTATTCTTCTCTACTGTATCTCATCCCTTGGAAAAATTCAAAGAGATTTAATACAATTTAGAAAGGACCCCATGGCTGGGATGGATGATGGGAAACATCTTATGGCACGAAGGTGTCTTCCGTAGCTGTGCTGTCCTCGGAGCTGAACTTTACTAAACTTATATAATGCATGCGTAAGAAGAATGGACCACCCATGTAGAAGGGCTACCTCTCGACTTGGAGTGAAGAGCCCTTGAGGGTTAGCGCGCGTGCGCGAACCAACCACTCCATCAGAAGAACGAGTCGGATGGACAACATACCGGGTAGAAAATGACACCAGGTATAAGGTATAGAATATGCATGTCTTGAAATAAACAGAGCAGCACATGTTCCTAGTTAAGAGATAGGAATACTTTAATAGAATACAACTGTTGATAATTTCTTTTTAATTTTCAGGAAGAAGAGAGGGAACGAGACATTGGTATATATTGAGAAGAATAAACTGCTGAGAAACGTGAGAGTCATATAAATTGTGGAAAAGTACATTGAAAGCACCCTATGGATAAATCTTGACACGCAAGACTATATCTGGTAGGAGAGTCATAGTATTTTACTGAGCTGAAGTTTAAAGGCCAAAGATTTCAAGCCAGGCAGTCTCGAGTGCATAATGCATCGCAGCATCCCAAAGAGCGATGTAAGCAGGTTTCCATGAACTTAGAAAACTATAATGCGTTACTTACTACCTAAAGTCAAAGTTCATTCAGACATTGTTCGCACACTGATCTGGTATTGTCAATGAGGATACATTTCTTAATCAGATTATCTTTTTCTCACAGACTCTGAGATACGTGGGAATGACGGTGGTCGAAAAGAATGATTAATTCTTCCTAGGGAATTCTTAGGGAAGATCATGGCATACCAACTGAAAGAAGTACTCTTGGGATAGTGAAAGGTACTAGAAAAAGAAGGTAAGGTTGAGCCGTATGAAGGATTTCATTGAGAAGACAATGAAATGGAAGGGCATGACTTTCGTTTAAGGATGAGATACTCCTTTGGATACTATCAAGATCCTCCAGACCAAGTCCTGTTTAAGTCTCAGCGAGTTTAATTGCGTGGGAGGGATATTTAATTTTCAGATTCGACAATTAAGTACCTGCATCACGTACAAGGATCCGAATGAACGATAAAATCAAATGGGAAATAAAAGAATGGCGAAGTTAGCTACTTTTCCACATTAACATAAATGCTAATGGACAGCTTGGTTTCTGAATGATCTCGACTTTTGGATGCTACGGTGAGGCCCCATTAACTCATCTTCAAAACTACCCTGCTTCCTTCTACACTACTAAACACAATTTTCCAAAATAAATATCAAAGACCTGAAACTGTTGGCTACGTGGAACGAGGAAGACACCGTGTGTGGTCCCGGCGAGGTGTTAATCACGGGGCCTGCTACTGTGCGCTGGGCCCAGCCATATAGCAGCAGGGTCCGACAACCGGACCTTCAATTAGTATACACTGTACTATACATCCTACCATTCGACATCGCATCATCACGGTATCTTTTACAATCCACAGTATTATACCTAGGTATATATATGTAATATATTATTCAAGGTATTGCATATGTGCAACAGTTAGATTTTCGTCGAATTTCGTACAGAAACTTTTCTTCAAATTTATTATATCAAACGATTTTTAAAATATTTCTCGAAATTGAATAAAAATGAGAATTTACTTTCTTTCAGTTTCCTATGATTCGTCAACGATTTTTCGAAGCACGTAACACCGTTGAAAATCAAGATTCAAATTATTTCGATAAGCGGTTTTTTTCTGGACCAGTTTTCCGCCGAAGCACCTGTCGCGTGTATGCGCAAGGGGATGAATTTGGAGAAAGACACAAGAGCCGAGCAGCGGAACTGAGAAGGAGAGAAACGAGTAGAGGGTACAAGTGAATAAGGGAGGATGGGAAGCAAAAGAGTGAGTGAGCGACTGAGTAGGTGAATGAGTGAACGTACCGGAGAACACGTGGTTCTATTTGCAAAAACAAAGTTTGCACGGGACAAACACGGGCAAACACTAGTCGGCCTAGTCTGCCCAGTCGGTTCGGGGTCAAAAGCGCAACAAAGACTTCGCACGGCATTCCACCGTGACTCCACACACTCTTTTTCTGCTAGGGATAGGTCAACTAATCCTTTCTGTATCGCTTGCAGGGGCTAATCACGAGAAACCCGATACATTCCAGAAGAAATTTCAAAAAAGTTCAGCATTTAAATCGTGAATGGATTGGCATATAAAATATACGTATAAAAGGATCGTGCATCGTATACGCAGTCTGCATGAACCTTCAAGTGGCGGGTTCAAGAACTGACCTCATGCAGATGAGGAACCTGATGCGTCAAGGATGAACAGTGTTCCAGGAAGCTATATTACGGGAAGCTACGTTCCTATGAATAACGTGGGAGGTCTTGATTAATTAAATTAATTATAATTATCATTTCGAAATTCCGCAACCCTTATGGAAGTATTACAACCCCTAAAC